GAGATGTAAAAAGGTACCACTCCACGGGGATAATGACACTGGCTTAGCATTACCATTTCCAGGAATTTACCCTGAATATACATCTGCAACAAAACACAAGTACATAAGGGCAGGTTATTCATTACAGTATTGACAATTACAAAATGCTAGAAATTACATAAATGGCCAAGCGGAGGAAATTAGAAACTATGGTATACACACAAAATAGAGTATTATAGAGCCATAAAAAAGAAAGATTCGGGGTGCCTGAGTGGTTGAGTTGGTTAGACATCTGCCTTTGGCTCAGATTATGATCCCAGGGTCCTGGGAATCAAGTACCATTTCGGGCTCACTCCTCAGTTGGGAGTCTGCTTCTCCCTCTCCCTCTGCCTGCTGCTCTGCCTAATTGTGCTCTGTCAACTAAATAAATAAAATCTTTAAAAAAAAAAAGATTCTACAAATGTGATATGGAGTCATACCCACTAGATATTGTAAGTGAAGAAAACAAGTGCAAAAGAGCAGATACAGTATGCTACCTTTTGTGTATCAATGGAAAGTAAGAAAACACATATATGTGCTTATCCTTACCAAAAAGAGAGAGAGAGAGAGAGAGAGAGAAAGAGAGAGAGAGAGAGAGAAGATAATCCAGAAAATGATGAACACAGCTACCTGTAAAGGCATGGGGCTGGGAGAATGGGGAACAGTATGAAGATGGGAGGAGCTGACGCTTCTCTTTTTTACAGTTATAGTTTTGGAAGCATGTGAATATTCTACATATTTAAACTACAAAAAAATCAACAAGAATGGGGAAGAAAATCTAAAACATATGAACTCAATTGTATTGCCAATTAATACCCAATAAATACACTGAAGGGAAAAATAGAAAGAATACAAAATAAGCACAGTATGTACCTATACACTCTTAATCTTCAGCAGATTAGCAGGGAAAGGGACACTGCAAACCAATTCTATACTAATAAGTAGGGACTTTTTTGTAATATGGAGATGAAGCAATTCTTAAATAATTTTAGATGATATACAGAACTGAATAAATGAGTAAATAAGTTGATGCTCTTGTCAGTAAGACTATAACCAAAGCAGAAGAAATATACAATTATAAAACAAGGAAACGCAAAAATCCTAAGGAGACAAATCTAACATGAAAGTATTGGTGTGGGAGCACCTGGGTAGTTCAGTCAGTTAAGCATCTCCCTTCAGCTCAGGTCACGATCCTGGGGTCCTGGCATTGAGCCTGCTCAGCAGGGAGCCTGCTTCTCCTTTTCCCTCTACCCCTACTAATGGGCTCTCTCTTGCTCCCTGTCTCTCAAATAAAATCTTTAAAAAATATTGGTGTGAACTCATGATTTCTAAAATATATACATGGGGCAGCCCCCGTGGCTGAGCGGTTTAGCACCGCCTTCTGCCCAGGGCATGATCCTAGAGACCTGGGATCGAGTCCCATGTCGGGCTCCCTGCGTGGAGCCTGCTTCTCCCTCTGCCTGTGTCTCTGCCTCTCTCTCTCTCTCTCTCTCTCTCTCTCTCTCTCTCTCTCTCTCTCTGCCTCTAATAAATAAATAAAATCTTTAAAAAATAAAATAAAATATATACATGTATGTATGTGTATGCACATTTTCATGAACCTGCATACTTCCTAACTCTACTACAAAGGTCAAAGAGCAAAGACACCACAGTATTAGTGAGCACACCTAGCAACAGAACTTGGTGTCTAATACCATTCCTCACTGAAAAAATCCAGAAATTCTCAGAGAAATACTGATTCCCGGATTAAGATGGGCTAGTTACAGGATGAGCTCAGAACATCTGTTATGCAAGAAAGTAAGGAAATGCTTTAAAAAAAAAAAAAAAAAAAGGCCGGGGCAGGGGGTGGGGGAATGACTGAGTGGCTCAGCCAGTTGAGCACCTGCCTTCACATCCACAGTGTGACCCTGGAGTCCTGGGATCGAGTCCCATATCGGGCTCCCTGCATGGAGCCTGCTTTTCTCTTTGCCTGTGTCTCTGCCTCTCTGTCTCTGTGTCTCTCGTGAATAAATAAATAAAATCTTTTAAAAAATTAAAAATAAATAAATAAAATAAAAAATAAAAGGCACAGGACAGACAATCCACCTTGAAATCTTTCCTCCTAAAAAATTCTGGGATAATCTGAGCACCGAGAGATAATTACATAACTAGTTATAAGCTACTAAGAAAAATGGTAATTCATGAGTCCAATATCAATAATAAATACACAAATAATGAGGAAGAAGGATGGGCTCTTGCTTATGGTAGAATGCTGAGCTGAATGCTAACTGCTAATTGTGGCGGGGAACACTGCAGTTGGAAAAAAAGCATCTTGCAAATATCATACCAAAGATTTAGTCAAGAATCATCCATGGAGGGCAGCCCGGGTGGCTCAGCGGTTTAGCGCCGCCTTCAGCCCAGGGCATGATCGTGGAGACCCCGGATCAAGTCCCACATCAGGTTCCCTGAATGGAGCCTGCTTCTCCCTCTGCCTATGTCTCTGCCTTTCTCTCTATCTCTCTCTCTCTCTCATGAATAAATAAATAAAAAAAATCATCCATGGATTCTAAACCTAGAGGGAAATTTCAATGAACAGCATATTTCCATGGTCTTAAAATGTCTTCCCACAGATTATTAGTTGGGAGAGGAGAGGACTGTGCACAATGGGAAAACAAGACAACAGCTTGACTGGGTGATCACAACACCACCAATGAAAGGCACCTAAGCACTGTGAATCTCCAAATAAATACCAAGGATACATCAATACATGTAGCATCACAGCTGAGAAAACATACCCTGAATCTAACCATGAAGAAAAAATAGATAAACCTAAAATGAGGAAAGTTCTATTAAAACAGAAAGGAAAGGAAAAGGAAGTCAAAAAAAAAAAAAAAAAAAGGAAAGGAAAAGGAAGTCAGTGTTATAGGCAAAGAAAAGTAGAATGTTCCAGATTAAAGAAAGCCAGATAATTAAGTACAATATTTGACCCTAGACTGGATCCTGTATTAAATGGGGGACAAAGGGGACCCCGGTGGCTCAGTTGGTTAAACGTCTGCTTTCGGCTCAGGTCATGATCTCAGGGTCCTGGTAGAGAGCCCTGCATCGGGCTCCCTGCTCAGTGGAGAGTCTGCTTCTCCCTCTCCCTGTGGCCCTGCCCATGCTAATAAATAAAATCTTTAAAAATAAAAATAAAACAAAAGGGGGGACAAAAATGCTATGAAGAACATTTTTGGGTCACTTGACAGAACTGAAATATAGTAAAGTATTATGGTAATGTTACATTTAATGAACTTGGTATGTATGACTTTACTAATTGTTGGGTATACACATTAAAGTATTTAGGATAAAGGGCCAGGATATATGGAACTTACATATTCGGGAAGAAGAAAGTGTGTATATGTGGATAAAGAGAGGACTTAAGGGAGGACAGAGAGGAGAGCGTGTGTAAATGATGTCAAATATTAATAACTTAATCTGGGTAGAGGGTATCGAATTTTTTTGTCCCTTACCTATTCTTGCAACTTCTCTGTAAATTTGAAGTTATTTCTAAAGTATAAAAAAAATTTAATTATAATGGGAAGAGGTTACTTTTTCAACAAAGTAGCTGGAGAAGCATGTAACAACCGCAAACACCAAAATCATGGTATGTCTGAAGGTAAAAATAACTCCAGATTCTGGAGTACCTGGGTGGCTCAGGTCATGATCTCAGGGTCCTGGGATCGAGCCCCACGTCTGGCTCCCTGCTCAGTGGAGAGCCTGTTTCTCCCTCTGCCTCTCCCACCACCCCCCTACCCTGCTCGTACTCTCAAATAAATAAAATCTTTAAATAAAAATAACTCCAGGTTCTAATTTCATACATTTTCTGCATACATCATACTAAAACTAAATTGCAGCCTATGATACATGAGTATATTTGTACTTAGGAATAACTTAACACTTGATTATAAATGTGGAGTATCTAGTAGTTCCTTTTCCTCATATTTAGAGCTATTTCAGAATGCCATAATAACCATTTGATAAGTGCTTACTGAGTTCTTACAATGGGCTGTTATGTTATTTAAACCTTTCCTAAATCTTTGCTACTCCTGTGTAGTAATCAGCAAACCAGCAGCTTTAGATTGTTAGAAATGCAGAATTTCACATCCAACCCAGACCTACTGAATCACAATCTACCCTTGAACAAAATCTTCAGGTGATTTATCGACACATTAAAAATCAAGAAGGGGGATGACTGGGTGGCTCAGCGGTTAAGTATCTGCCTTTGGCTCAGAGTGTGATCCTGGAGTCCCAGGATCGAGTCCCGCGTCCGGCTCCCCACAGGGAGCCTGCTTCTCCCTCTGCCTATGACCCTGCCTCTCTGTGTGTGTGTGTCTCATGAATAAATAAATAAAATCTTTAAAAATAAAAAATAAAATTTTAAAAATTTCAAGAAGGGCCACTCTAAATGACTTAACTTGACACGTTTATCTCTAGCTCCCACTAACTTTGATGCATGAAGTGCAATTCCCCAGAGCAGCTCTCCTCCACAACACGACTCAAGGCAAGGGAGAGAGAGCAGGGAAGAATGCACAGGCAGACCCAGAAATGGCTTTTATAACCTCTAGCTCACACTCCTCTGGCCAAGAATGAGTCACAGGGACCCAATCAAACTGCAAGGAGACTGAGAAATGTAGTCATTCTGTGTACTCATGGAGGAAAATGAATACAGTTTACTAATGGGATACTGAGATGTCTCAGGAATACTAAGGAAAAGTTAAATAACCAAGCTTGAGCAGAAGCAAACCATCATGAGGACTATTAACAGGAGTTCTACTTCTCTCAGTTCAAATTCTAAAGCCACAGGCCAGCCAATAAACTAACTCACCTTACATCAAGAGGTTCATTTAGTCTAATCAAATGATTTAAAAAAAAAAAAAAGTGGACCTATACTGGCAAGCATTTCTAAGACATCTTCATCCCAAGAAGCACACACCAGTTCATACAATTTCAAATGAAACAAAGTCTAAGAAAGACTTTCTCAAAGTTTATTTAAATTTCTAATTACAAAAAAAGGATACAAACTTGATTGGGGGAAAAATACAAAATATAAAAAGCACAGAAGAATATCTTCCCTCCCGCCTCCAAGTCCCATTCTCCAGAATAATTCATATTAGAATTCTGGGGTGTTCCTCCAAACTTCTTCTATACACACAACTACATACATATACACATACAAAGATTTATTTAAAATACACACATTGTTCTACAATTTATTCACCAAGCAATGTGTCATGGACATCCATCCACATCTGTACAAGTGGATCTACTTCAATCTGAACAGCAGGATAATATTCTACAATATGGCTACACCATAACTTAACCAGTCCCCTACTGATGAACATTAAAATTCTCTCTCCCTTTTTAATTATCAAACTGTTCTTGCTAAGTATCCTTGTGCAGCCACTGTAGTCTAATTCAGTCAGAATTCCGCAAGTAAGGTCAAGAAAACATAGTGCTCAGTTGATAAGTACTATCAATTGTACAAGGTATGAATGGTCCATACTCCATATTTGTGGAGGAACACAGGTAGACACCTTTTTATAGGTTGTTATGATAATTAATAAGGAACACAGGTAGACACTTTTTTAAGGTTGTTATGAGAATTAAGTAATACACAAAGTAAAGCACATAAAATCATGCCTGGTATTGCTAAGTGATAATAAATATTAATTATTGAATAATATCCAATCATCACACAATGTGGTAACAAGTAAATGGAAGATAGCTCTCTTTCCCTTATAATCAAGGTTAATCACCATCCCATGTTTGGCCATATGCAGTACAGAGGAACATCTCTTCCTGGACTCCTAGACAGCCAGAACCAGCCTAGAGTTAGAGAATGGGAAGCAAAAATGGAGTGAGTCAACCTGACTGGGTGGCACTAAGTCCACACCTTGGTTCCTGATGCCAATGTATCCCGATTTGTGAGAAAACCAGAACCCAAACTTGCTTACTGGCTCACAACATATACTAGGATCGATCCCTAGCCTCTCAAAATGATACAAAAAAACGTGCAGGGGCACCTCGGTGGGTCAGTCAGTTAATTGGCCAACTCTTGATCTCAGCTGAGGTCTTGGGTCTCAGGGTCCTGAGTTCAAGCCCTATGTTGGTTTCCACGCTGGACATGGAGCCTACTTACGGGGAAAAAAAAGACATGTCCAGTGTTTTCTAACAATGGTTCTCAAAATAAGGTCTAAGGACCACCAGAAGTCCCCACAGCCCTTTCAGGAATCCCATGAAGTCAAAACTATTTTCATAATAATATTCACACCATTTCTTTTTAATTCTCATTCTCTCATGAGCATACAGTGGAGTTTTCTAGAGGCTGTATGACATTTTGCAATATACTGAATGCAGAAGCAGTTATGGGAACCCAAAGGTCTTCTATTAAGTCAGACATTAAAGGGATACATAGAAATGTAAAGCAAGCAACTTCTTTTAGTAAGTGTTGTTTTGTTTCAGAAAATAGATTGTTTCACTTAAAACTTTGTTAAAATGTAATAATTATTTTTAAATATTTATTTTCAAAACCTATCAGTTTTAATTTTTCATGCAATGAAATCAAGAGATAGCCACATAAGTAAAACCTATTCAGAGTCCTAAATAACTGTTTTTTAAAGCCTCTCCTATGAAATCCTCCTCAATTTTTAAGAGTGTAAAGGAGTTCTAAGACTGAAAAGTTTGTGATGCATGGCTCTATGTTATCAGTTGCCTCAAATGACAACATATGTCTATAGAAGTCAAACCACAGGCATTAGTCATTTTTTTAATTCTCCTGTGAAGATCAGAGAAAACTGTAGAAGCTCTACAGAAGCCTGTCAGTAGGTCTCAGAGATGGCAGCACAGGTAGAGAAGGCAAATCAAAGGGCAGGAAAAGTTCCAGTAAGAACAAATCAGTGATCCCTCCCCATGACAAAAGGGTCTACAGTAAAAACCTGACAACTGCTGGCTGGCTGGTCCCAAAGATGTGTTGCCATTTGGGGAACTCAGGATCCCTTTCTACTGGTGGCAAACTGGACACTCTGTATCCGTAGAGGCCACAATGGCCATGGTGAGGGCAAGTTTGTACTGCTGAGTTCCAGGCACCCATCTCCACCCCTGTCCCCATGGGTACTGTTTTGAGGCCTCAGAACAATCACCAGGCTGTCTGAAGAAGGAGAACCACTTACTGCTATCCATAAAGTAGGCCATCCTGTCTGATTAAGAACGTCCTCTGCTGTGGTATTCACATGGACCAAATGTTTCCAGGCTCAGGACTCTGCCAAACAGCCCTTTACCAAACCTCCTTCCAGAAGAAAAAAAAAAAAAAAAAAAAAACAGGAATTATAACTCCCCCTTAAACAGAAAAATGGAAGTCATATCCCTAGAGTCCTTTCCCAATCCACCTTATTATCAATCCTTCCTTGATGCTCAGGTAAATCCATTAGCCAGTGCCCAGGAATCTGCAAATCCGGACTCCAATCCATCTCAAGAGGTTCTACTCTTTGAGGGCCTTCGAAGCCCACCCTCCCCTCCCCAAGGAGAGTCTGCAACAACAGCAGTTCGCCAGCACCTGGTACTGACCTAGTTCACAAAATCAGCTGTAAACCCCAGAATGCCTTTTACCCATTATTGAAACAGAGGTGAGCGCCTCCCTGTCTTCACTTGACTCTTTCTACCAGGCCCTTAAATCTTGGCTTAAGAAGCCAGTGCGAGAATTCTGCCTTTGTTGCAACTATTCATTTCAACACCTAACATTCTCGGTCACTTCTCTTACTTAGAAAATTCATCTGAAATGGGGGAGGGTGGCCCCTGGGTGGCTTAGTTGGTTAAGCATCCAACTCTTGATTTTGACTCGGGTCATGGTTTCAGGTTTGTTGGGGTCCTGTGCTGGGCACATAGCCTGCTTGGGATTCTCTCCCTCTCCCATAACCCACATCCCCTCCCCTCTAATACATGCATTCCCTTATTTAAAAAAAAAGGGCGGGGGGGAGGGAATTCATTTAACATCTAAGTCTATTTCCTGATCATTTTAACAATCTTCTTCCCTATCTCAGTCACTTTCTGCCATACCTTAAACTCTCTTGTTCCAATACACACACTACTTCTAAAGTACATATATGTGTATACACACACACACACACACACACACACATATATCTCAAGTCATCCCATTGTGACCACCCCACATCTTCCTTGACCATGTCCCCTAATCCATGATTCCATCACAGTCCACTATCACTATACCCTCCTTATGGCCTCAGTCCCTTGATTAATCATGGTGCCTGATTACCTCCCTTGCCTACAACTTCCACTAACCCTTCTTCCACTCTCCAACCATTAAACTAACCTGACATCAAGTAGCTGAGCATGGAGAGAGAAAAACACACTCTCAGGCTAACTAACTGCTTTCACTTTAAGTAAATGAACACAAGTTTCAAGTGGACCTTCAGCACGTCCCAGCTATGCTACTACATTCTACAAGGCAATTATTCATTCTTCTAGAAGAATATTTCAAATCTTCTCTTCTCTACAACTGAGCCACTGAGCAACCACTTCCCTAGCTGTCCTCAAACGGTTAATCGCTGCTGCTGCTGCCTTCTCTGGCACTCTTCTTCTTACCTCACTATATGAAGGTATTCCTTCCTGCCTCTGCCCTAGGTTCAGTCCTTGGCCAAGATGGATTACATCACCTCACTAAACACAGTGTTCTTTTCACTGCCCAGTCACATCTACCCACACTGTAACTCAAATGTACCTGGTTATTTTCAATGAATTGATCAAATCTGTCTCATGAACTTAGGGCTGTTTTTTCTATAATTAGTCTCACCTTTCTTATGAACATTCACCCTAGAAAACAGCCAGAAACTTAAAATTTTGCAAATAATATCTCAGTCTCTTTCAGTTAATATTTAGACACTAAGTTTAACTCCTTACCAGAGCTGGTTTAAATTGATGTTTCAGGTAAATTTTTCTCAAATTGCGCTTAAGAGACATCCTTAAGGTGGCAAGAAGACTTAGGATCTTGGTGTCTCTGTGGATCTTCACCAACCTCTGCCACAAAGAAGTGCATGTGCCACTGATGGACTGCCGCCACCTTATCTTGTGGGATGTCATGCCTGCTCCTAGTGCTATATCCACTGACCTAGAGATATATGATGCCTGTTGTCCCACCAGGCCCCTCAGCTCCCAATGGTATGAGAGCATTCGAAACTCCCCTGCTACCACAGGCTCATCTATCTAGCCACTTCCTTCTACCACCACTATGCTCTATCCTCATGTTGGCTTGGCATGGCATGGTACCAACCTGCATAGCTATCTTCTCGAGATTCCAAATAAGAAGTACAGCCAAAGGCCTTCAACTTTTGAGCCTTTTTTTCAAATTTCCTCTCTCTTTTTTAAAGAATTTATTTATTTATTCAGGAGAGACACAGAGAGAGAGGCCGAGACACAGGCAGAGGGAGAGGCAGGCTCCATGCAGGGAGCCTGATGGCGGAACTCGATTCCAGGACTCCAGGATCATGCCCTGGGCCCAAGGCAGGCACTAAACTGCTGAGCCACCTAGGGATCCCCAAATTTTCTCTTTTTTTAGTAAGCTCTATGCCCAAGGTAAGGCTTGGACTCATGACCCCAAAATCAAAAGTCACATGCTCTGCCAATTGAACCAGCCAGGTGCCCCATCAAAGGCCTTCTACCTGTAACTGTCCCCTCAACCTATTTAACACTCTCACCGCAATCCCAGAACTCAAACCAGACAAAGAAGCTCAAAACATGTATTTCAGGGGCGCCTAGCTGGCTCAGTCAGTGGAGTGTTGTAACTCTTGATCTTGGGGTTGTGAGTTCAAGCCCCATGTTGGGTATAGAGAGTACTTTCACCCCCCAAAAAAAAAAAAAGCATGTATTTCTCACAATCTGTTTCCCTACCTCTGTCCCCCTTCTTCCCATAACTCACCAGGGCTTGTTCAGGGCTGAAAAAGATGGACTTTCCATTTCTAATTTATCCTCTTTCCTCCTTGGAAACTCTAAGCCTCAAGCTCAGCCTTAATGATGGAAGAGATACCATATCTCCTTACCCCCACAGAAGAAACTATCATTACAGTAAGTCAGAGAAGCTCTTAATATGGAAACTACAGGGAACTTGGAACTTTAGAAAACCAAAAACAAAGATACAGTGACTTAAAATTCCCTAAAATATTATCCCATCTCAACTTCAACAGTAAACATCTCCTGTGTGCTAGGTTCCTAGGATATAAGATTAGAGAATTAGGTTACTAAATAAAGTGGGGAGACCTACAAAAAAAATAATTACAATGGAATTTTATATGGTGCATTTACGATAACAGAAAAAAAGTAATCCATTTGTCAATCTTGTCCAGGTCTATCAAACTAAAGAGGTGAGCAACTGCAGAAAAGGATCGTATCAATTATTTCACGTCTGGGACGCCTGGGTGGCTCAGCAGTTGAGCGTCTGCCTTCAGCTCAGGGCATGATCCATCCCACATCAGGCTCCCTGAGAGGAGCCTACTTCTCCCTCTGCCTATGTCTCTCCCTTCTCTCTGTGCCTCTCATGAATAAATAAATAAAATCTTTAAAAAAAATTATTTCACATGACAACTTCATATCATTTCATCTTTCCCCAATTCACATACTTTTTACTTTTTTTTTTTTTTCATTTTCTTTTCTACTCACAAGATGAAAACCCAGTCCTTAATGAGAGGAAAAATGCAAGAGAAGCCATGAAGCAGGTTCAAGTTTCTCTATTAATAAAAATAAATATGCAAAAACTAAAGCACTGATCAAACAGCCCAAGTCCAAAGAAAATCAGATAGAATGAAGTAATAAATTATAACAAATCTGTTATTTTATGTCGCTACCATACCCTGAACTGTAACAAACAAATATTTTCATTCCATTTCTTAATTCAAATGGAAGACAACAAAATAGCAAGGGGAGCAAGAGAAAAATTCAGCCAGATGTTCTTAACACAAACTACAAGCTTACTATGTGTCAGACGTTGGGACTACAAAAATTGAAAGATATAATACCTACCCTCAAGGGCTTCACAATGGATGACGAACAAATTTTACTCACAAGGTGATAAACAACACAAAAACTTTATCCCAACAATGGTCATTCAACTGTGGTAGAAAACTGCATGAAACAATGCATCAAAGTTTGCCCTCTCAAACACCATTTTCAGGCTGGTGTTCAAGGCTAGTGGTGATTCCCAACTAGGCACTTCAGAAATACTACAATCACTGACACAGAAGTGTTCCACAAAACACCTACTACCAAAGCACAAGTTAACTATATCCTAGCAATATCAAAGAGGTGCAAAAAAATTAATAAATGTAAATGTATTTTTTTTGTAAAGCACTACTAAACGAATGCATGTTGGTATGAAAATTTCTTTTGTTTGTATTAGTTTGGATGCTTGGCATTTACCAATATTCCTTTTCCTATGTTTATTTTTGCTAATTTCCCCATTATATGAATATTGGTGGGTACAGAGCCTGCCTCCTTTCCTAAAAGCCAAGCCCTAATAGTCATCTTCTCAAATTCCCTTGCTTCTCAGGAGCAAGCAGTGACCTAACCTAAGCCAATCCACTGAGGATTTTGGATCAGAAGCTAATACAAGGAAACATGGCTGAGAGAGCAACTTTCGAACAACTCCCTGTTTCCCAATAGCAGTGGCAAGAGTAGCAACAGGGTCCCAGATCACGGTGCTGTTAATACATGTGGGAGAACCCAGGCAGCATCAGAATATCAGGCAGCATCAGAAATGATATACTCCCCAGGTCCCAACCCAGACTACTTCTGAAGTCTAATTCTGACTGTGGAACTTTTCTTGGTTCCTGCCCACTTTCAGAACTGGGGTTCCTCAAGACCTCAAAGAATGCTAAACATCTCCCCAATGCTCTTGCATGAAATTCCTTTTTTGCTTAAAGCATTACTAACAAGTAATTTCTTGCTAATAAGATGTATGAGTGATAGCCAACAGTGATGAAATAGTATGGTAAATAAAGCGCTGGGTCTGTGTAGTCTACTTTGGAAAACAGACAATTCTGTGTGTCACACAACTCAAGTTAAACTCTGACAATCCAGTGAATAATCTGTCACCATGTATTAATTCCAAAACTTTTCCATCCCAACTACTAAATAACTTTGCCAGTCTGATTTCATCTGGAAGACCACCCACACCTCTCTCTCCATCAACTAATATAGCACACCAAGTTCTCTACTTCATATTCAAACTCTAGATACACTCCCAGATGATTTAACTGAATGAAGAGGTCTCTAAATTGCTTGAATAAGAATCAAAGATCTAAAACTTTCAACGTGGGGGCCTTTGGCAAACAGTCCAGTCTTGAAAGGAATTAACTGTTTTCAAAACTTTTCTTAGTTTTGAAGTTGACAACAACTTCAAAGTGCTCTCTCAACAGACTTTTTTCATTTTTGCTGTCATGGTTACATTAGGCAACTACAGATACAATTGTTACATAGTAACTTTAAAATATAAATAGAGACACCTGGCTGGCTCAGCGGCTGAGCATCTGCCTTTGGCTCAGGTCATGATCCTGGAGACCCGGGATCGGGTCCCACATCCGGCTTCCTGCATGGAGCCTGCTTCTCCTTCTGCCTATGTCGCCGCCTCTCTCTGTAGGTCTCTCTCACGAATAAATAAATAAAATCTTTAAAAATATAAAATGAAATACAAACAAATCCCTCAATTACGAATCGAATAAGGAGTTGGTAACATTAATGGTCAAGCTACAGATTCGAATTCTGCAACTACCTCCTCAGCTCCACCCCACCTAAATCCCAGGCTAAGAGATCTGGAAGAGGGAGAGCAGTCCTGGAAAAAGTCATCCCACCCATCTCAAACACAGCTCTCCTCTTTGGCAGATAGTAGGAGCTCGGTAACAGAGTTGCTTGACTACAATTCCCAGGGCTGTGCATATATATTACCTTATTTCCATAAATTGCTTTCCCATAGCACTTTACGTGAGCCCAGGGCTTCCAGGCTTATGAAACACTTTCACATGAATCCTCGCATCCCGATAGGTGGTTCAGAATTAGACTTTCCTGCACGGCCATTAAATGCAAAAGCGCACCATGGAAGCTCAGTAACTTAGGCTCCCGTTGCACTGCACGGCGTCTCTATTTCGGCCCCTTCCGATTCGCTGTCAATCGCTCTCCCACTTCTGTGCTCCGTAAGGGTTCCTAAGGACGCCCTGATCCTCTCACCGTCCCCAGGCCGAACACGACCTGCACCCTGGAAAGTGCTCCGTGAACACCGCGGTTCTTCCGCCTCGCGCCCGCCAGCGCCCTCCCGGCGGGGCCTGAGCCCCCAGGGTGGCTGCACACGCACCCCCGCGCCCCCGGCCCCGCCAGTCGCCACCTCCAGGGCCGCAGCGGAGAAGCGCGCAGCCCAGGACGCCGACACTTTGCTCCCCAGTAAAATCCCCCACAGCTCACCGCTGCCCCTTCGCTCGGCCCGCTGGCTCCCTCCGGTTCCTACGGCGGCGCGGGGGCGGACGGAGGTGCCAGCGGCGCGCGGAGGTGCCAGCGGCGGCAGCTGGGCCCCACGGGGCGGCTGGGGCTGACCCGGGGCTGACCCGGGGCGCCCCCGGACAGCGGGGCAGCGCCCCCCGACGTGCGCACCCACGACCCTCACGCCCCGCACCACTGCCCCCGCGCCCGACCCCGCGCCGCCCGGGACTCGGGTGGGCGAGGGCGCTCCGCACGTACCCGAGGAGGCAGCGGTCGCAGACGACGCCACGACTCCCCTTGCACACCGTGTACGCCAGGGGATCCGAGCGGAAGAGCAGCTCTCCCGGGCGCAGCTGCGCCGACGCGCGCAGCCCGTTTCCCCTGCTGGCGGAGCTGAACTTTTCCACCTTCGGCGGCTCCATCACCTCAGGTCCGCACCTCAGCCGGCCGCCGCGTCCCGCAGCGGGCGCCTCGCGTGCCTCCCGGAGCCGCGCGCCCGCGCCTTGTGCGCACGCGTACGCCCGAGGGGCGGGGCAGGCGCGCGGGCCGTCTGAGCATGCCCAGACGGGGCCGAGGGGAGGCGGGTGGGAGCTGCGCGCGGTGCCCGGCGGCGGCTGGGGTCGGGGGTCGGGGGTCGGGGGTCAGGGGTCGGGGCCCGGGCCGGCCGCCCGGGCGCTCCGGCTACCGCGCAGGGGGGCGGGGGGCGGGGGGCGGGTTACACACGCTAACTGCCCCAGCATTCTGTTTTGACCGTTTGTGTGCAGAGAGGTGAGGGAGCAGGGCAGCGAATACACGCATAGCCTATTCCGAGGTCAGGTAGTTAGCATTTGGCTGTGCCTGCTCCTTTTCTCTCCTTTTCTCTCCTTTTCTCTCCTTTTCTCTCCTTTTCTCTCCCGGTGCACAGAGGTGGTGGTGTCGAACCTGTCGAAAGGAAGTTGTCTTGTTTCACTTAAAAGTAAGCTGCAGGGGCGCCTGGGTGGCCCGGCGGTTGAGCGCTCGCCTTAGCCTCCTTAGCCTCCGGAATTCTGGGATGGAGTCCCGCTCCTCCTCCCTTGGCCTGTGTCTCCGCCCCTCTGTGTCTCTCATGAGCAAATAAGATCTTTTAAAATGTATATATAAATAAATAAAAGTAAGCTGCAGACCTCATGAAATCTCATAGCTCATTTCATGATTAAATGCCATCACATGTGATGAGGGAGCAGAAGGCAGGCTGAGGACAAAGCGGGAGCGGACACCCCGCACTCCCCGCGCCCCCACTCCTGGGTGGGATGTGTGTGACATTCCTCCAGGAAACTCCCCACTGTCTTCCTGTTAATGCTCTGCTAGAGGGGAAAAACCACCTCCACTTGACGACAGCAAGGCCTCCAGTATCCTGAAGGTCTTCAGATCAAAGTGCTTTCGGATGCCTCCTTTTTCTCCTTACCTCTCCCAACTCCCAAGCGCCATCAGCCACCCCTCAACCCCAGTGCAGCAGCTCTTTCTGCCCATGAGTCCCATCCCTGTACTTTAATAAAATCACCCTTTTGGGCACCAAGGAGGTCTCAAAAATTCTTTCTTGGCCGTGGGCTCCGGACCTCAACAACATTCTTAGACTACATCACATGCATTTCTTCAGAATAAACACAATATCCTATAGAACTACCATATCAAGAACTCCTGGCGGGGATCCCTGGATGGCTCAGGGGTTTAGTGCCTGCCTTCAGCCCAGGGCAGGCTGGAGTCCTGGGATCAAGTCCCACATCGGGCTTCCTGCATGGAGCCTGCTTCTCTCTCAGCCTATGTCTCCGCCTCCCTCCCTCTGTGTCTCTCATGAATAAGTAAAATCAAAAAAGAAAAAAAAAAAAAAAAGAGCTCCTGGGTGGCTCAGTGAGTTGAACATCCAACTCTTGGTTTCAGCTCAGGCCATGATCTCCAGGTCCTGAGATCAAGCCCCACTACTGGCTCCCTGCTCAGCCAGAAGTCAGATTCTCTTACCCCCCATCCTAAAAAATCATTAAAAAGAAACTATAATATCATTATTGTAGGAAACAAAGACAGCAGAAGAGAAATTATTAAATTTCATTACTACCTACAGCCCACTGACAAGTCCTTGCAACAGAAAGAGTGAACTTCCTCTAAGGATCCAGTTTCCTCAATGATAATACTTTGCTAAGGGCAAAAGGAAATTTTTTTAAAGATTTTTTAAAATTTATTCATTAGAGACACAAAGAGAGAGGCAGAGATACAGGCAGAGGGAGAAGCAGGCTCCATGCAGGGAGCGCGACACGAGACTCCATCCCAGTACCCCAGGATCATGCCCTGAACCTAAGGCAGATGCCCAGCGGCCAAGCCACCCAGGCATCCCAGGGTAAAAGGAAATCTTAATCCAACCCTCCAGGACCCTATCAGTCTACTTTATTATTTTTTAAAAATATTTTATTTATTTATTCATGAGAGACAGAGGCAGAGACACAGGCAGAGGGAGAAGCAGGCTCCATGCAGGGAGCCCAATATGGGACTCGAACCGGGGTGGGACTTGATCCAGGGTCTCCAGTATCACACCCCGGGCCAAAGGCGGCGCCAAACCCCCAAGCCACCCGGGTTACCCTATCAGTCTACCTTAAAGTATAAAAATTCCTTCATAAACTTCCTTTATCTCTACTCCCCAAGATACATGTTTGCAATCATTCCCCAAACATATGACCCATCAATATACACCATTGTCTTGGCTCATGGCTAAGTTCTTATTAGACGGGAATAAATGACCTTTTCCAAAAACAGCTAACCTCCTCAAGGTCCTGGAAACCTTGCTTCCAAAATTCCTTAGAGACTTCCGTTCTCCCTAAACCCCTCCCAACTTGAAAGGTTGGAACTTTTCCCACCTTGAAACCCCCTCCAACTCAGCCACTCCTCATGACCCCTGTGCAGCTCTTTCTGCTCTTTCTGCCATGTGTTTTAATAAAACCACCTTTTTGCATCAAAGACAACTCAAGAATTCTTTCTTGGCTATTGGCTTCAAACCCCAATGTCTGCCCAATGTGATTACAACCTATAGCCCATTGACAAATACCAAGGGCAGGCAGAGTATAACATTCCATAGGGAAACTCCCAACTGTCTTCAAGTTAATGCTTTGCTCAAGGGAAAAAACAGCCTTAGCTTGACAATAGCAAGGCCTCCAGTATCCTTGTATCTTCCCTAGCATATGAAAATCCTTTTGGAACTTTCCTTATCTTTGCCCCTAATCCAAAAGTATATAATCCTTGCTCCTTACAATTCTTAGGCAGCAGCCCTTTCTGCCCACAGATCATGTCACTCTACTTTAATAAAACCACTTTTTGCACTGAAGTCAGCACAAGAATTCTTTCTTAGCCACTGCCTGCGGAATCCAGACCCTACTCAAAAAAACTACATCATCCCTACAAAGACTTTTCTGTGTTAGCAAGTAAAAATGATACTCACTTTGGGAAGCCTGGGTAGCTCAGTTGTTTAAGCAACCGACTCGCTTTCAGCTCAGGTCATGATCTCAGAGTCATGGGATGGAGCCCCATGTCGGCTCCGCACTTGGTGCAGAGTCAGCTTGGGACTCATTCCTTCTTCCTCTGTCATTCCCCCTGCTCTCTCTCTTTCTAAAATAAAATTTTTTTAAAGCGATATTCACCTTCAGAATTGCTTTTGTAACTTAAAAAAAAACAAGATCCAGTCAAAGGTCATGCATTTTCTTTTTCATGACATCAATTCTTGAGATGCCAGGCTAGGAATTTTGTAAAGTGTTCCACATTTTGTATTTGCCTGGCCGTTTCCTCATGGTATCATTACATTGTTCCTCTATTCCCTGTTTTTCCTGTTAAATGCAGTCTAGATCTAGATACTAGAGTCTAGAGGCTCAATTTGATTCAATTTAAGTGTTTTAAGTGTTTTTCAGAAAAACACTCCAATTTATATTGTTCATTTCACATTGCATCACATATCATCTGAATGTGCATAATGTGAGGTTGTCCCACTACTCATAAAATTGAATTCAATCAGGTGGTTAAAGTGGTGACTGCCAGAATTCTAAACTGCAAAGGTACATTTTACATTTGCAGTTAGTAACTTGTGGGGTGATTGGGGACTGTAAAATAGCCTGATCTCCATAGCCTGGAAAGGCAGACTTTTGACACTTCCGGAAGTAGTCTAGAAATGGCTGTGGTGTACTGGAAAGAGTGGTGGGTGAGGATTTCAAAGACATTGATTTGAGTAGCAGTTCTTCCATGTGACACTAGGTAATTTTTCCAAGCCTGTTTATTAACTTTATGATGAACATGATAATATGTTTTGAAGCGGTGGGAATATATCCTTTGAAAGTATTTTGAAAAACCTTCAAAGTACCATACAAATGTGAAAGGGATAATTATTCTGAGTTAAAACTCCTAAGTCTCTGAGTATAGGATAATGCCTGCATACAGCACCCTATCAGCACCACTAGGATAATCATCTCATGCATTAGCATTAGGTATCATACATAGAAGGAAATATAACAGCATTCACATAATTATTTTTTTAAGATTTTATTTATTCATGAGAGAGACACAGAGAGAAACAGAGACATAGGCAGAGAGAGAAGCAGGCTCCCTGCAGAGGAGCCCAATGTGGGACTCGATTCCAGGAACCCAGAATCATGACCTGAACCAAAGGCAGATGCTCAACCACTGAGCCACCCAGGTGCCCCAAGTGTTTACATAATTAACAGGTCATAAGGAGTTCCAGAGAACCAGGGGCTAATTCTACCACAAAATATTCCCAATTACTGGGACGCCTGGGTGGCTCAGTGGTTGAGTGTCTGCCTTTGGCTCTGGGTGTGGTCCCGGGATCATGGGATCGAGACCCACATCGGGCTCCCCTGCCGGAAGCCTGCTTCTCCCCATGCCTATGTCTCTGCCTCTGTGTGTGTGTGTGTCTCATGAATAAGTAAATAAAATCTTAAAAAAAATATATTCCCAATTACTAAAGAGTGTGAGAACAGTTCTCAGGGAAACCATTATCCTTGACTCTGTAGAGTCTTCCCTGTTCTGTGATGTGGTTTCACCTACCAGACACGACCCATTTCCCCTGAGATCTTGTTCCTCCTCCCCTTAATTCAGGAAGCCAACTGTCATAAATCTTATAGGAATATCCTATGAGCCACCTCTCACCATGAAGAAAAAAGCAATATCTCAGAAAACGCTGAAATGAGAGAGGAAGACCCCTATACCCCTAATAGTTCACCTGGTTGGACATTTCCATGAGAGACACATGGAAATTGTTTAAAATCACCCTTATTTTGTGTTAAAGGAACAAAACCAATGTCGTCTGCTTGCAGCCTCTTCTGCAGCTATGGTGCACGTACAAGACCCAGGCTGCCCATCAGACTCACCCATCCTATAGTCATGGTCTTGTTGAACTCTGGTTATTCTGGTTATTAGGAGCTACTTTGAAATGCACCAAAAATAAGATGGATTAATGGTGGCATAAGGGATGGATAAATGCATAGATGTGTAATAAAGCTAGTGTAGTAAAATGGTGAAGACAGAATCTAGGTGTCGGTAAACATTGCTCACTCTAAGTTCTTTGAATTTTACTGCATGTTTGAAAATTTTCATAATAAAATATTGAGGGGAGGGGCGCCTGGGTGGCTTAGTCAGTTGAGCATGTCTTTGGCTTGGGTTGTGATCCTGGGGCCCTGGAATCAAGTCCCCCATGGGGCTCCTCGTGGGGAGCCTGCTTCTCCCTCTGCTATGTCTCTGCCTCTCTCTCTGTGTCTCTCATGAATAAATAAAATCTTTTTTTTTAATGTTGTTTTTAGCGTTGATATATTTAACTCAGATTCCCAATGAAGTTTACATGAACCTCAACTGAAGGTTAAAGCCATAGAAAGAATGTAGGATTTTAGTTACTGAGATACTGTGTGAAGCCAGGATAACTTGATGTTGAGCCACAGAATATAAAACTAGAAAGATTTAAATATTTCCTGATTTGGGTTTTGGGTACTGAGCCTGGAATTGAGGGTCCTTGGACCACAAATCTGAAGAGTGTTGAGAATCGGGAAGTAGCCCACTCCATGCATCGATAGCACTTTTCTTACAAGGTAGGGCACTTGTTGCTCCTTGTTTGGCCCAGTGAATAGAAGCTACGGAAACTTCAGAATGAGGGTCCCTCATTCAAGAAGCCCCTTTTGAAGGCACTCCCTGCTTTCCTTAGGGGACAAAAGGAAGCAATAACCTCAGGTACAAGGAAGCCCTGGAGCACTGCCCTAGCCAGTATGCATGTGGAGGCAGTCTACCTCCACATCTGCCAGCCCTCAGTGATGATCCAGATTTATCTTTAACCCCAAGGAGAGAGATCTAAAGGAACCACTGCTTGGGAACCACCATGAGCAGGCTTTGCACACCAACCTAAGACCAACCTGGCAGAGGTAGGGTTTGGGGAGTGAGGAAGGAGCAGGTATATCAAAGACTTGTCTGAGCTGGACCAGTGTGGAGGGAGATCAGAGTGCTGGAACCCCAAGGCTTGCCCTTATGTGAGAAGCTACCAGGCCAAGACACTTAGAAGCACTTAGAGACACAAAATCACCAACATAGTTGAGAAGCTGAAAGAAAAAAACTTTCAACTATTTATAATAAAAAATTTCAGTCAATAATGTTAGAGGAAAGACAATTGTCTTTTCAGTCTCTGTGTAGAAACTGGCACTATAAAATTCTTATAAAAAAGTGATCAGGGATGCCTGGGTGGCTCAGCGGTTGAACGTCTGCCTTTGGCTCAGGGCATGATCCCAGGATCCAGGATCCAGTCCCACATTGGGGTCCTTGCATGCAGCCTGCTTCTCCCTCTGCCTGTGTCTCTGCCTCTCTCTCTCTCTCATGAATAAATAAATAACATCTTTTTTTTTAATTAAGAAATAAAAAAAAATAGAAGTGATCAAAGGCGCCTGGGTACCTCAGTTAGTTAAGAATCTGCCTTCAAAAAAAAAAAAAAAGAATCTGCCTTCAGTTCAGGTCAGGATCGAACCCTGCATTGGGGCTACTGGTCTGCAGAGAGTCTGCTTCTCCCTCTGCCCCTCACCCTCCTCATGCTCTTTCTCAAATAAAATATTAAAAAAAAAAAAAGTGAGCAGAGTATGTAACCAAAAATGTAGGGGAAAGAAGTATCAAGGGTCTACCACACTGAATTTTTTTTTTCTGGATTTTGTGATGTTTGTCGCTTTTAAAATTTTATACTTTGTTTCTTTTCTCATTCCAAATATTCCCTCTTGTACTTAAGAGTCATTGTTTTGTATCCTTTTTCTTAAAAGAGGTATCCCAGTACCCAAAAGAATTGAAGGACTACTGAGGATATTTGCATGCCCATGTTAGCAGTAGCATTATGCACCGTAGCCAAAATGTAGAAATAAAGTATCCAGGGCAGCCTGGGTGGCTCAGCTGTTTAGTGCCTACCTTCAGCCCAGGGCCTGATCCTGGAGACCTGGGATCTAGTCCCACGTCAGGCTCCCTGCATGGAGCCTGCTTCTCCCTCTGCCTATGTCTCTGCCTCTCTGTGTGTGTCTCTCATGAATAAATAAAATCTTAAAAAAAAAAAAAAAAAAGGAATGAAAGTATCCATCAAAAGATGACTAAACAAAATATGGTATATGCATACAATGGAATATTATTCAGCCTTAAAAAGAAATGAAATTCTAATACATTACAATGTGGATGAACTTTAAAAATGTTAAGTGAAATACTTCAGACACAAAACATATTGTATGGCTCCACTTATATAAGGTACCTGGAATGGACAGATACATAGACAAAATGTAGAAGTGCAGTCAACAGGAGCTAGGGGAAGGGGAATGGAGAACTAAGTGGTCAATGAGTATGGAGTTGTTATTTGGGACTATGAAAAAGTCCTGGAAATATGTAATGGTGATTTTTACACAACAATGTACTTAATGCCACTGGATTATGCACTTCAAATGGTCAAAATGTTACATTTTATAATGTATATATAATCACAATTTTATTTATTTATTTTTAAACTTTTCTTTTTTTAAAAATATTTATTTATGATAGTCACACAGAGAGAGAGAGAGAGAGAGAGGCAGAAACACAGGCAGAGGGAGAAGCAGGCTCCATGCACCGGGAGCCCGACGTGGGATTCGATCCCAGGTCTCCAGGATCGCGCCCTGGGCCAAAGGCAGGTGCTAAACCGCTGCGCCACCCAGGGATCCCTATAATCACAATTTTAAAGGGGGCTTGTTCCCTAAAGTTGTATAAACCTGAGCCCCACAAAATTAGATCTGTTCCTACCAATGAAATAAGCAATTCCAAAGCAATACAATATGACATCCTATAATAAGAACCATGTATTTGTACCAGGTTTGTTTTTTTTTTACTTAAAAAAGGGATTTAACTATTGCAAAATGCGCTATTGCTTTCCAGAACTCTTAAATGATAAATCCTAAACATCAGTTTCCAGATTTCCTATGCAAAGACCACTCAGAAACTAGAAAGATAGCTGACTCTTAATATTCTTTAAAGTTGCCTGGGAGGGAATGGCTGTGGTTTAAATGTATTTTAGAAACAGAAGCTCAGAATCCCTGGGTCCTCCATCCTATCCTGCAACTCAATAAATTATTTTGGTGGTTTCTCTTGTATGAAAATGATAAAGGAGGTTTAAAGAGAAATGGAAGATGTTAAGAGAGGTTCATGATATATGGGGATCCCTGGGTGGCGCAGCGGTTTGGCGCCTGCCTTTGGCCCAGGGCGCGGTCCTGGAGACCCGGGATCGAGTCCCATGTCGGGCTCCCGGTGCATGGAGCCTGCTTCTTCCTCTGCCTGTGTCTCTGCCTCTCTCTCTCTCTGCGACTATAATTAATAAATAAATAAATAAATAAATAAATAAATAAATAAATAAATAAATAAATAAATAAATAAATAAATAAATAAATAAATAAAATTTACAAAAAAAATAAAATAAAATACACAAAAAGCAATGCTTTCTTGCCCTACTTGTTACTTTCATATCCTCGCTAATTAGCAGATAAAAAACGAAGAGAGCATAGAAAATTGTGCCTCAATATCCCATAAACCATAATTGAACATTTAAGTTTTATTAGCAAGAGGGTAATTAAATAATATCTATGTTATTACAGAACTATCCAGCAGTTTTAGTAATAAGCCAAATGGACATTTAACCAAAACTTATTGGATTACTTTTTAAGTGTATTATGTGTCTCACTGGGTAACTAGGATTCCTCTTTCAAGCCTTAAATTGGTGCAAATAATATAGTTATAAAACATGGAGCTTAAAAAAAAACACCAAAAACCCTTCCTTCAGGGTACCTGAGTGGCTGTTGGTCAGGTGCCTGCCTGCCTTTGGCTCAGATCATGATCTCGAGATCCTGGGATTGAGCCCAGCATCAGGCTCTCTACTCTGTCAGAGCCTGCTTCTCCCTTTCCCTCTGCCCTTGCCCATTTGTGCTCTCTCACTCTCAAAAAAATAAAATCTTGGGACACCTGGGTAACTCAGCGGTTGAGCATCTACCTTAGGTCCAGGGCATGATCTTGGAGTCTCAGGATCGAGTCCCACATAGGGCTCCCGGCATGGAGCCTGCTTCTCCCTCTGCCTGTGTCTCTGCCTCTCTCTGGGTCTCTCACGAATAAATAAAATCTTAAAAAAAAAAAAAAAAATCATTTTCTTAAAAAAAGAAAAAAAAAAACAGAAAAACAATAAAAAACAAACCTTTCCTTCTCATTAATCCAAGGTCTAGGGGTACCTGGGTGGCTCAGTGGTTGAGCATCTGCCTTTGGCTCAGGCTGTGATCCTGGGGTCCTGGGATTGAGTCCCACATCGGCTCCCCACAGGGGGCCTGCCTCTCCCTCTGCCTGTGTCTCTTTCTCTCTGTAATATCTCATGAGTAAATAAATAAAATATTTTTTTAAAAAAAATATAAGGTCCGGGCTTGTGGCTTAGACACCAATCATCACTTCAGGAGTCTGCAAATTTTTAGTAGTTATGATCATGAGTCATTGTAGTAATGTTGGAATGGGATACTATTGATCAGTGCCAGATAGATAGTATTTATAGGGGCACCTGGGTGGCTCAGTGGCTGTGTCTGCCTTGGCTCAGGGCGTGATCCTGTGGTCTTGGGGTCAAGTCCTCTGGGTTCCCCACAGGGGGCCGCTTCTCCCTCTGCCTGTGTCTCTGCCTTTCTCTCTGTGTCTCTCATGAATAAATAAAATCCTTTTAAAAAAAAGTATTTATATTAGTAGTCCTGGTTAAAAGTGATACAATTTCATTCCAAACTAGTTTTTTGTTTTTTTTTTTTGAATTTTATTAACCACAAGGGTGAAAGAGCATTGGTTAACTCTAGGTAAGATCATAGTGGCTTAAAATAGCTAGCAGAGCTGAGAGCTTTAGTCATTACAACAGGAGACACTCAGTGGTACTTAAGAATCTTTTTGTGTATTTGTTTTTGAAATATTGATAACTTTCCAAAATGAAAATAGATGTTTTTCTCTAGAATATTTAAGAATATAGTCATTGTAAATTCAGGAGTGACTGGGACCAAAATAGGCATGTTCTGTATTAGAAGGATTTTAAAAATGTTTTGTATTATTTTGGAATTATGGAATATTCCATTCAAATATTACCATCCAAATCAAAGGAGATTTGATATGTCTTAGTTAAAATCTAGTAGCTTCTTCAATGATCTAAGAAAACATTCTTAATTCCATTAGGTTCATCCAAAGATCTAACTTCAGATGTTCTTAATAGAACAAAAATTCAAGCAACTTTTGAAGAACACAGACTGAATTACTCACTGGAAGTACACTGACTATAAATAACAGAATTTAAAGTGAATAACTTAGGATCAATTTAATATTTCATTAAAGACCAACAAATCACAAAATCTTATTACTTAAAATATTTTACTTTCTAAAAAAGTTTAATCCATTTTAAAATTGAAATAATTTCATTGTACAATACTTGATAATATTAATTCAACAATCTGAAAAGTAAAACAAACCACTTAAAATCATTTTAATTTACTATCTAAGCTTAATAATGTACAAACTCTTGCCCTCCAGGAGGAAGCAAAACTCAACGGTGAAAGTGGAATATTTAAGTTAATATAATGTAAGATATTTGGCCAAAGGGATTTTTTTTAAAAGTAAACTCTACACCCAACATGGATGGGGCGTAAACTCACAACCCTGAGATCAAGACACATGCTCTACTGACTGAGCCAGCCAGGCGCCCTTGGCCAAAGGGATTTTTAAAAAGAAACTTCATCTGGCAATATCCTACAACTACCAGTGCATCTACAGTAGATAGGAATTCAAAACAAATGCAATCTGATCAAATCCACAATTAACTGAAGTTTTCATTTTATTTTCTGTGAATATAAGGGCAGCCACGGTTTTATCTGATTTAGGAAACTATCACCTTCAAAAGAAATTATCTGCTGAATCTGCAAAACAAGAAGAGTTATCTTCTGTTGAAAGGCTGGAAGCTTTTCAAATGTGGTTATCTTCCATTTGTGCCATAATTTTCAAATATATCAATGGCTCAGGTATGGGCAATCAAGTTCCTACATGATCATCTCTTCCATACAATCATCAAAGAGCCACCTGCAAGATTCTCTGAAATACTCTATAGCTTCAAAAAGCTGTTTAAAGTCTTGAGGATACAGATCTGTTATTTTCATGTCTCCATCTTTCCCTATTTGCTTCAATATAGCTGCTGCATTAACTGGACTCAATAACCTGCAAAAGAAACACAAAATAAATCTGCTTGGTTCCTTTTTATAACTGCAGTAAATATTGGTAGAGATGGCTTCTATGCCCAACTTAAGATGCTTAATTTATGGATCTATAATTAATCTTATTTGGTTTAAGAGCCCGCATAAAATATGCAGCTTTTACCATTATTTCTAAAGATTCATGGCTTACGTATCACCCAAAGAGCAAATTTGGACTTTTAACGTGTTCTCATCAAGTCTTACACAAAATTCTAGTCTACCATTGCCCTTCAAAATAATTTTTTTTAAAGATTTTATTTATCTATTCATGAGAGACACAGAGAAAGAGAGAGGCAGAGAGAGAAGCAGGCTTCATGCAGGGAGCTCGACATGGGACTTGATCCCAGGTCTCCAGGATCACGCCCTGGGCTAAAGGTGACTCTAAACTGCTGAGCTATCCAGGCTGCCCCAAAACAATTCTTCTGCCTACCTCTTCCATCTGTTAATTCTCTTTGCAAAGCATTCTTAACTACATTTAGGTCCATGTAATACATCAGTAAGTACAAACAGCAGAAACTGGCATCCAGGAGATGTCAAAGAGGAAATAGGTCTCACCTTTTTATTTAACAATTGCTGGTGATAAATTATAAAGCAAAAAACTGCCTTATTAATTACTCTAGCAAGAAACCATCAATGAGCCTTTGACAAGAACTTTTAGATTTTGAATGGAATCCTGCTCATAGGTATAAACACTTTCAATTCAGAGATCGCCAAAGGAATTTTTAACATTTTTCACCATGGTTTATCAGATTTACTAGGGCTGCCTTTTTTTAAAATTTTTTTTAAGGTAGGCTCCACACAGAGCTCGAACTCACAATCCTGAAATCAAGACTTGAGCTGAAATCAAGAGACACTCAGCCAACTGAGCCACCCAGGTACCCCTAATTTCCTACATTCTTTTTTTTTTTTTAAAGACTTAAATTTATTTGAAAGGGAGGGAGAGAGAAAGCACGAGGCAGGTGGAGGGAGAGAGAGAAGCAGACCCGCGCTAAGCAGGGAGCCCGACATGGGGCTCGATCCCAGGACCCTGAGATCATAACCTGAGCTGAAGGTAGATGCTTAACTGACTGAGCCACCCAGGCACCCCCCTAATTTCCTTTATCCTTGATATTTTCATTCAACACAATCAGTACCACAGGTGATAAGATAAAAAATAGATTAAATTTATTAGACTATTGCCATTCTTAACATTTACTTTTTTAATTTTATTTTTTTTAAAGATTTTATTTATTTATTCATGAGAGACACACAGAGAGAGGCAGAGACAGAGGCAGAGGGAGAAGCAGGCTCCCTGTGGGGAGCCGATGTGAGACTTGATCCTAGGACCACGAGATCATGCCCTGAACTAAAGGCAGATGCTCGACCACTGAGCCACCCAGGCGCCCCTTATCATTTATTTTTATACAAATATTGTTCAATCAACAGCTCATTCAGAGTTTCACCTATTCTCTGATAGTACTTTCAAAGACATGGGCTGTTGATTCCAAAGTGCACAGCCCCACGTAAAAGTTACATAGATACCGAGTAAGCAGTAATAGCTATAATTTTTATAAAGCTTTAGTAGAAACATAAATTTGGCCCAGGACAGGAGGACTAGGGAGGTATAATAATCTGTGCCTGCTTTGATTTAGGAAATAAAACCACAAAGGATAAGCAGTGAGAAAAGGCAAGATGATGGGTATGTCACCACTGAGGCTCCTTCCATCCTGGTCACTGGCAAGCAGCTAGTTCTCCACCTAAGTTAATCCTGGCCATATACTCTGACAAAGATGAAATAACTGGTAGGCTGTTGTTTTCTCAGTGGAAAAAAAATTAAGCTCAAGAGATTATATGGAAAATTGAATTTTATTTTTCTCAAAATGTGCACTGGAGAAGGAACTGTTTTGAAGAAATAGATGCATGAAAACATGGTACCTCACTCTGTTAATCATGATATACAAGATACAGAAAATGGACCTCTAACATGAAGTATAATTCTTACATTAAACTGCCACTTCTGGGATACCTGGGTGGCTCAGTGGTTGAGTGGCTGCCTTTGGCTCAGGATGTGATCCTGGAGTCCTAGGATTGAGTCCCGCAATAGGCTCTCCCTGCAGGGAGCCTGCTTCTCTTCCTGCCTGTGTCCCTGCTCTCTCTTGGTGTCTTTCATTAATAAACAAAATCTTAAAAAAAAAAAAAAAAAAAAAAAACTGCCATTTTTATACTTGCTTTTATTTTTACTTACTGTAAATGGTCCATTAGCTTGAAATTGCGCTTCATAAAACACTGCTTTAACATGAGAAAAAATACATCATAGTTAATAGATGTTAAATTCTCTGTAAATAAATTCTGATGAGGAGTCAGTTGAATTAAACACATGTTTTGTCCTACTCGTTTGTTTACTTGTTCTAATGGTTTCTGGAGAGAGAAAAAAAATAAAGTGTGTTAGTCATAAATACTGCCAGAAAAAGACATAGTTCATTTACTCATTCAAACTAGCTGTTTGAAAAGGCCATCACCACAGATCCTGAGTGTTCTCTGTTCTTGCTAGGTGTGTCAAGAGTGCAAGGTCCTAAAACTACTCTTTACCTGGGCAGTTTTTCAGGGTTGTTTGCAGTGAGCCACCTTGGAGGATGAAATAATGGCTCCCTGCATGTCAAAGAGGAGGCTTGCTTCATATTTGCTATAAAGGAAGTGAAATCCCCTAGTATTTCTAAGTTGCAATGCAAGGCCCAGCATGAACACCATCCAATTGAGGTACACCCTGTTACCCCATGGGATGTAGGGCAGATAAAGTCCTTCATCTAATACAGGAGTCTACCTTTGGGCAGTATCGATGAAAGAATAACAGCTAATTAACTTTGAAGCAGGGTAAAATCAGATCCCAAATATGATCCTAACACACACTGAGTTTCTTCTATGTTGGAGACACAACCCCAGATCCTAAGGATAAAAAACCATTATTGACTTATATTTTCCCTTTTAAAAAAAAAAAAAAAGATTTTATTTATTGAGAGAGAGAGTGAGAAAGAGCACGAGCAGGGGGAAGAGGGAGAAGCAGGTTCCCTGCTGAGCTCAATCCCAGGACCCTGAGATCATGACCCAAGTCGAAGGCAGACGCCTAACCGACTGAGCCACCCAGGCACCCCTTGACTTAACATTTTCACTTGGATATTTAAAAAACTATGGGGTTACAACTATGGTCCGTGGCCTGCCTGTTGTTGTGTAGTTGGATCTAAAATGGTTTTTACATTTGTAAAGGATTGTTAAAATAAAACAGAACAAAACAACAAAGAATATGACAAAGACTATTATGTGGTCTGCAAAGCATAAAACATTTGCTGTTTGGCCCTTTACTGAAAAAGCTGACCAACCTGCTCTAGCATACAGAACTCTGATTCAGAAAGTATATGCCTTGATATAAAGTTAAGATGTTTTTTTCCTCTGAAATTATCCCTCAGAAAGCAGAGAGGCCTTCCATTTAAGTCCTCTGGAAATCTCATATAGTGGTAGTGATCCCTTATTACTTATCTAGCTATATATACACAAACACACACATATATGTACATTCACAAACATACATATTTTTAAATATATATACTGTTTGTGGAAGATCTATTAGCTTAAAAAATAAACTTTCAATCAATTCCAGTTCTAGTTTTGGATGCCTGCTTGAAGGATTAATCTTTTTTCAAAAGAGGGAAGGTAATAAAATTAAAAAAATATTTAGTAATTATTAGAGAGGGAGATAACCTCAGGCATGAAGTGTCCTATGTTGTTGATAATAAGACTTTTGAAAGGGACTTTATTTTTTTTAATTAATTAATTAATTAATTCATTCATTCATTCATTCATGAGAGACACAGAGAGAGACAGGCAGAGACACAGGCAGAGGAAGAAGCAGGCTCCACGCAGGGAGTCCAATGTGGGGCTCGATCCCAGGACCCCAGGGTCACATCTTGAGCAGAAGGCTGATGCTCAATAGCTGAGCCACCCAGGTATCCCTGAGGAGAACTTTAAAAAATGAGCTGGTAGGGGGTGCCTGGCTGGCTCAGTTGGTAGAGTGTGCAATCTTCCGGGTTGTGAGTTCAAGCTCCAGGTTGGTGACCTAAATTACTTAAAAAGAAAATCTTAAAAAGAAAAATAAAGCAAGCAAGCTTGTGGGTAGTTTTGTAGTTACAGATACTTACTTGATAAATAGGGAAGAAAAAACTTTCCTGGTGTTAAATAAATGGCTATTTATATCTTTGAAAAAAATGTTCTGGGGGCACCTGGGTGACTCAAGTCAGTGAAGCATCTGCTTTGGGCTCAGGTCATGATCTTGGGAACTGGGATCAAACCCCACATTGGAGCCCTAAGCAGGGAGCCTGCTTCTTCCTTTCCCTCTGCCCCTCTCTGCTGCTCCTGCTCTCTCTCAAATAAATAAATAAATAAAATCATTTTT